GATGAAAACATCCACTGAGAGAGAGATCTCCTCCACGACCAAGCAGATCTCTTTTTGGGCCTCCGTGGTCGCGTATGGCATGGCGATGTTCAGTGCCAGCACCTTTCTGGCGCTGACGCGGTTGATTCAGTTCATGGACCTCACGACTGAGATCAAAGGGACGCCTCAGGTGTACCAGGACCCGATTATACATGGCATGGTTGGTTTTAACCGGAGAACCCGTAACCTTTTTTTTCCCGAAAGCATTGCGAAGGGTTCTTCCGGAAAATCTCTTGAACACTTGCACTTCTATACTTACACTTGAACACTTACACTTCTATACTTACAATGGCACTGAAGTATCCAAGTGAAAGTTTGCAAGTGAAAGCATCCAAGTGCAAGTATGCAAGTGTAAGTATCCAAGTGTAAGCATGAAAGCATCCAAGTGCAAGTATGCAAGTGTAAGTATCCAAGTGTAAGCATGCAAGTGTAAGTATGCAAGTGTAAGCATAAGCATGAAAAACTTTCACGGGAGATATCCTAATGAAAAACATTCCCCCACCTTTTAAATTCTCTTTCAAGGCGGAGGGTGGGACGAACAACGTCAACCGAAAGTGCAACCCTCTGCGGAGATCGTGCGTGTCGAGTGTGCGAAATGCAGGCGAGAGTGCGATTTGTCCGGTTCCGGCGCAACCCTTTGCGGAGATCGTGCGTGCCGAGTGCGCGAAATGCAGGCGAGAGTGCGATTTGTCCCATGTGCGGGCAACCCTGCGGAGATCGCGCGTGTCGAGTGCGCGAAATGCAGGCGAGAGTGCGGTTTGTCCGGTTCCGGCGCAACCGTTTGCGGAGATCGTGCGCGTCGCGAAGTGCAGGCGAGAGTGCGACTTGTCCGGTGCGCGCGCAACCCTCTGCGGAGATCGTGCGTGTCGAGGGCGCGAAGTGCAGGCGAGAGTGCGTTTTGGAGACTTGCCGCTTCACTTTTGGACGTTTTGGAGACTTGCCGCTTCACTTTTGGAGGAAGTCTTGTACGAAGCGCTCGTTTTGGAGACTTGCCGCTTCACTTTTGGAGGAAGTCTCGCACGAAACGCGCGTTTTGGAGACTTGGCGCTTCACTTTTGGAGGGAGTCTCGTACGAAGCGCTCGTTTTGGTGACTTGGCACTGCACTTGTGGAGCTGGACTCAGACCTGGCCAGTTCGTAGTGCAAATGTAGGGCGGGAAGAAGCTTTTCGGAGCTGGACTCAGAAGTGGCCAGTTTGTAGTACAAATGCAATACGGGAAAGAGCTTTTCGGAGCTGGAGTCAGAAGTGGCCAGTTTGTAGTACAAATGTAGTCCGGGAAAGAACTTTTTGGAGCTGGACTCAGAAGTGGCCAGTTTGTAGTACAAATGTAGTACGGGAAAGAGCCTTTCAGAGATGGACTCAAGAAGTGGCCAGTTTGTACTACAAATGTAGTACGGGAAAGAGCATTTTGGAGCTGGACTCAGAAGTGGCCAGTTTGTAGTACAAAAGTAGTACGGGAAAGAGCCTTTCAGAGCTGGAGTGAGTGTGGCCAAAGTACGTTCGTGATGTCTCTGTGCCATTGGGATTTGCGCGGCCTTGGTGGGAAGTGCGTATGCGTGGCGCCGTGCCACTGGGGAGCGCGAAGCATGCTGGCGTAAACGCGGCGTGTCGCTGGTGAGCGGGATCATTAGCGGTATCGTGTGATATGTTTGCTTCTAGTGTGTGGACAGACCGTGTGGCCAAAGTACGTTCGTGATGTCACAGTGCCATTGGGATTTGCGCGGCCTTGGTGGAAAATGCGTTTGCGTGGCGCCATGCCACTGGGGAGCGCAAAACATGCTGGCGTAAAGGCGGCGTGTCGCTGGTGAGCGGGATGAATAGGGGTATCATGTGATATGTTTGCTTCTAGTGTGTGGCGGGCCGTGTGGCCAAAGTACGTTCGTGACGTCGCAGTGCCATCGGGATTTGCGCGGCCTTGGTGGGAAGTGTGTTTGCGTGGCGCCGTGCCACTGGGGAGCGCGAAACATGCTGGCGTAAACGCGGCGTGCGCTGGTGAGGGGGATCGTTGGCTGTCTCATGTGATATGTGTGCTCCTAGTGTGTGGACAGACCGTGTGGCCAAAGTACGTTCGTGATGTCGCAGTGCCAATGGGATTTGCGCGGCCTTGGTGGGAAGTGCGTTTGCGTGGCGCCGTG